TCAATCCTTGTAAACTACCTACATATTCAATTGAATTACAATGGAATTACATCATGAAACATAATCGGTATTTTGCTCTTTTCATATATATTAATAATTTACTTATTATTTTTAGCATAAGACCTTATTCAAGTAGTTTCTCGAATCTAATTTTTGGTTAATATATTTCTTGTATGTTCGTCTTTTTTCATAAAGTGCTGTTTTCCATGCTGTTTCATGTTGCTCAATTACTTGAAACTGAACGAGCATATGTCGCATTTATAAGGCTGTACTCTACTATAAATACGTTTGTGAACAGTAATATAAAAGTTCTTTACAAACTTCTTCTGGCATGTCTCATTGATACTTGCGAGCCTCCACTGGCAAATGCCTCAAAATGTGTTTTCTTAAATAGCTTTTGAATCTATTGACATAACAAATATCACATAGCGTCTTATCTATATGTATAATAGTTCTGACAATAATAAATATCAATTAATATATGTAGATTGTTATTACGTCAACATTAAAACTTTTTACTTAATAATATAAATACATGTTATACGTAAGGCCGTAAGCATAATAGAGGAAATATTAGGAATAAATGTAGAAATTTCAATCTATCAGAAATCGTGTATTCTGTAGTACACTGTTTCTGATGAATAGAAATTCTTATATTTAGTCCTGTTCCTAATATATTTTCAATTGGGCTCATGGCCTGATAATAATTGTATTTTTGAATATTATATTGTCACAATGTTAATGCTAATTTATTTTTGCAAAAGATAATTTTACCTAAAGCATTTTCCGCACTGATCACACACATACTCCTTTTTATGTTCACATTGTACATGATCCCATCTCGATTGGTACGAGCTAAAAAAGATTCAAGAAAAATTAATGAAAGGATAAAAATAAAAAAAATATATAATTATATTATAATATTACGATGTTATTACGATATTATGTTAAAGTTACTGTTAATTGATACTCTGAAGTATTCTTACCTGAAACATTTTCCGCACTGATCGGA